GCCCCCTTCATGGTCGTCAAGAAGCTGACCGAGGTGACTGGCGGAGCTGACCGGCGGCTGTATCAAGCCGTACTGGGACAGGGAGAACTGGGGAGGATCCCCTGGAGGGCCTGTTCCCTGGGACCGGAGAGGACTCTTCGCTGGAGCCAATTTCCCTCTCGGACCAGCTCACCCGGCCCAGCAGGCCGAGGTCCGGGAGGTGCTGCGCTCCCACCAGCAGCTGTTCTCCGGCAAGCCGGGTCTCACCCACCTGGCTGCCCACCGGGTGCAGACGGGCACTCAACCCCGGTGCGCTGCTCCCCGTTCGGAGTCACAGGGAAGACGGCCCAGGGCCTGGAGAGAGAGGGCCGGGACATGCTGGCGCGAGGGGTGATCCAGCCGCCCTCCGGCCCCTGGGCCTCTCCCGCGGTGCTGGACCCCAAGGACGGGTCGATCCGGTTCTGCAGGGACTACTGGAAGCTCAACGCCATCACGGCGTCCGACGCCTGCCCCGTGCCCAGGCCTGACGAGCTCCTGGACAAGCTGGGGGGAGCTCGCTACCTCACCTCCCTGGACCTCCCCAAGGGCTCCTGGCAGGTGTGACGTGGGGGGGGGCTGTACACTCTGCGGGCCCTGGGCCCACTCTGCTGTGTGGGCTGTGGGTGTCTAGCACTGCCCAGCGGGGGGAACCGAGGGCCTGGCCTAGCAACTTCTCACCTGGCCAGGGGAAGGGGTGTGGCTAGCTGGGGGAGGGAGCAGACTAGACCCAGCAGGGAGTTCAGGGGAACTAGGGCGCATGGAGCACACGCTGGGCTGTGTCGCCGAGAAGCAATAACCCTCCATGCTCCACGGGCGGGAGGAGTCGCATCTGCTGCAGACGGGTGCAGGGTCGGGGTCCCCGACGCGCCCTCACAGCTGGTGCCACTGGACACAAACGCCGATTTCAGCCTGGCCTCCATCACCCCGGTGGGGCCCTATGAGATCCTGCTCCTGCCCCTTGGCCTCCCGGGGGCACCGGCCCCCTTCCAGCGCCTGGGTCCATGAGCACGTGGCCCAGGCCAGCCCAGTGCCGGCTTGACTGGGCAGGGGCGGGGGGGGGAGGCG